CCCCCCCCCCCATCCCGACTGCCCCCACATCATCTTCATCACCACCCCAACCATCATTACCACAACACTTGCCCGCCGACATTGTCTACTACGTCAACCCCTCTGTCATCTTCCTCTTCCTTTTCTCCTTCTTCCGCTTCCTCTTCTCCTTCGTCCCACCTCGCAGGCCTGCTCTTTGTCATCGACCTCAGCATCATCATCACCATCATCACCATCATGCTCGGATCAGCTGCAACGAAGGCCCCGTCGACGGACGCATCTATCGTTAGATTGACCGTTGCAGATGCCTCTTCGGCGCGGACGTTCCCCGCATTTACCACTGCCTCCAAGACAGCACCCTCGTCTATCCTTGAACAGCATGGCCTCCTGCAGCGATTAGAGATCTGCTCCGCTGGCATGTTCGCAACCGTGCGCAACGACATCATTGCCTTCAATACACACTAGCCGGGAAAAGTACATGTCGAGTCCAATGCCTGCAATGTGGTGGTGATTTCTTTAGTGCTGCAGGCCTGTGTGTGTACCGGACACGAGGTGCAGCTACTTGTGCAGTGTTTGCACGACTGGCAGCCGCTCTGAGCACAAGTGCCGCTGGTCAGCTTCGGCTTCCCGCATCGGGTCCCCCCATTTCTCACCCGCCTGACCCTCCCCTCTCTTATCCACCTAGCCCACCGCTTGCTCCCCTGCCCCAAACGGCAATGACCCGTCGTCTGATTACCTGATGGAGCCCCTGACTGAAGATGATCTCTCTCCGGAGCGCACACGAGAGCCAACGGACTTAATACAGCCGGAGGAACCCGACAGAACTGGTCAAGACTGCAATGAATCTCCGCCACCCGTGCAATCTGCAGAATTGAACGGATCTTCCCCTGCTGCGCAACCTGTGGAATCGGATGATGTCATAGCGCTAGAGGGAGGCCACTGTGTGTACTATGCCATTAATGTGGGTCTCCTTGCTCACAATTGTAACCCCTAAACTGTTTCTGATTTTGCAAACGTTGCGCGGTAGATAGAAGAAGAGCACCGTGCCGTCTGCGCAGAGGACGACAGTGCTGCACCTGGTGTGAAACGTAGAAGTCCTGTCTATGGCATATATGGGTAGGCAACTACAATTCCAAAACCACTTGCCGGGCATGGATGCGAATATTTGGGCATATATTGTACGTCATCCAGGTCATTTCAGTGCTCTTATCTTTGCAGATAATTCATGGACCCTATGGGACAATGGCGGTTGGGTGCACGTGTCCGGAAATTTTAATTCTTTTCTATCACGAAGTGGTGGACGATCACTCGGCCAGGCACAGTATGTCGATGAGCACTTGCAAGCACTGCACCCCCCGGAGAGCAATCCGGCTGATTCTACCACTGTTACATACTGCGCCTGCAACAGGGTGCACGGGCCATTTTCAGGGCCGTGACGTTTTCAGCCCGAAAGCCTGAAAGCAAAGGCCTACAGGCCCTGT